GAAGCTCTGCGCTATACAGCAGGATCAGTCCTCGCTGCACGGCTCGCATCCATGCGCTGCGCGGCCCAAAATTTTCTGCATAGCTGAAGGTATCTCCCTTCATAAGGATCGGCCAATTCAGATCGGCCGATTCAGATTGGCCGATCCTTACGCTTATAAGCAATGAGAATTAGCCAATCGAGGGTGCACGACGGTTGCGTTGCGGCACAGTCAGGTACCGTTTTGTCTGGAGTCCAGCACTCTTCTTTCCGACAACTTGCTGACGACAAGCTGTCAGATTGGAGAAATGAAGTGCGGAAGGACTGGGATAGGGCCGAATTACGCAAAATCGACTCTCAGCAAAGGCCCGCAACGCCGTCGCGCATTCGATCGGCCGATTCTTATTGTGCTTATAAGCGTTATAGGGATCGGGCGGTTCTTATGAAGTATGGACTACGGAACATGTACGACGCGCCGCGCCTTAGTTCTGCACTCGATAGAGCTCTATAGGATAGGATATTTACCATTTTAAAAAAATTAACTTACGACTGGTTCTTCAACAAATGGCACAACAACAAGCACTAAGCTTAGCAACAAGAATAAAAGCGTCAGTACAATTGGCACTTTGATTGCTCCTAAAAACAAATATAAATCGAACCAATTCATGAAGTTGAAGTGCGAATACATACCTTCAGCAACGGGTAATTTCGCGTAGCGCAGGTACAGCAATGCCATAACTGTGACGACTTTTTGTGCCCACATCACGAATGTCACATAGTTGATCAATGTATCAATATGGACGAAAGAAACAAGAAATGTACAGATAAGCTAAATCGCAGTTTATTTTTTCATGAGTTTTCTGGAATTTTTTGAACACATATTTCTTTATCAATTCGTGATAATCACCTGGCCAAGCAATGCTGCTCGAGGGCTGTTTGACGCCTCATTTACACAACTTATACAGGTAGGAAGATGACCTTCTCGAGCTGCAGCATGCATAAATCTTGAAGTAACAAATTTTGCGAAAGAATGATCGGTTGAATTGGGGTCAGATACCGTGATCCACAGAAAATATTGCTGTTTAGCGTGCCAACCAACAAGATGGCAACCATGAAAGGGATGGCATATGAGAAATTGCCTAATGTCTTTTGGGCGAAGTCCTGAAAAACAACATTAGTTGTAATCGTCATAATTTGAGCCTATAGGATCAAAATCGTTAAGATAGGCTAATCAAAATCAGATCATCAATGATCCTTCGGAGTTAGTCCAGGGTTTTATTTGTTCTTCTCTTCCTTTTACTTACCGCAGCCACTGCTGTGCTGTTGCTCATCTCGGCAGGAGATAGAACAATAAAATATGAGATGTTGATAGCAGCATAAGTGGCACTTACGATTAGGATACCAGAGATAAGAGACAATGGCATCGTTCTGCAAGGATTTGAATAAATCTGCTTGAGAAGAAAACCTCTGTTTTTGGGAACACAGAATTTGCTTCTACGCAATTGTTTTGTTCAGATTGAATGCTTTGAATAACAAAATTGTATAATTGCAGAACTATAGGGAGTATTTGTTGATCTCAAAGGAAAGCCAGTGGCGTACTCACTAGGTGCCTCTCTTCCTTCTCCCAAACATTTTTTAATTGAAATGTAGAGTACAAATTAATCAAGAAAATAGTATCTTTCATCGTTGACCAAAAAATATTTTGGCAGTTCCTTAGAAAACTTATATGCCCTCGAAATCCCAAATAGGGGAGCGGCCTATTCCCTTTCAAACCACGCCTTTTTTCAGTTTTCGTCTACGCCTCTTTAGAAAAACTACTGGAACCCGCTGCCAACCCTTTACAAAAAGTTCAAACAAATTTTCGGCAAGGTCTACAAACTTCCAACCTCCTCGGCTTATCAATCTCCGGTGTGCCATAATTAAGTATATCCCATCCAGCGTAACTCCATAGACCACCATAGAATGCTAAGGTAAGTTTACCCGGTGCATAAACACTACCTTCCATTGGATTTTTCAGATTGGCTGTCCACCCTAAAAACAAAACAAGAAACAGTAGAGACCTGCGTGAAAAAAGAGTGTTTTCGGAAATCAAACCTTCAAAAACGAGGTAGTAAAATCCAGTGATAATAATGATAGCCATAGCAAGCATTTTGGCACTCGTTACAACTACTTGGAATCTTGCAGCAAATCGATCGATAGAGTAGAAGTTCAAAAATGTTAATACAACTGTTAAAAAATTATTTAGACAAAGAAGATTTGCTGAAAAGGTAATCAGAGCTTACCAACAACAAGATATCCTAATAATCGCTCTGCAAATTCGTGCCATGGCGCTTCAAGCGCCAGCGCTGGTGATATACCATTTACTATAAAATTAGAAGTTTTTAAAAATTGGCCTGAGAAAAAAAAAACCTTACCAATGTACTGCCCAAAAGTGAGCGCTTGTACAGCAGCTGAAGCAGGATAGGTGACAAATACCGAGACCCACATGAAAGCAAAGGCGATAGCTTCCCAACCAACATAAACAGTATAGGCAAAATCACAACCAGGTTCCAATATTGAGGTTCCTAGCTCAATGTAACAGATAGCACCTAAAAGTGGGCATCTTCAGCATAGCAGTTTATATGATTTATTTAGTGCTTTTATTGTACATGTAATTACAATTAAAACGCCAATCAATAAATTCGTAGCCCCTATCTAACCGCTAGGACATGAAAATCGAAAGAACTGATTATGTTTCGTGATAGTCGATAATCTTTACCTCTATTTAATTTATACTGTGAGCTCTCGATTAAGCAATTATTTCAGTCATCTTGGACACTGAAACTGCTAAGAAATAAACATACAAAATTTTAGATAAAAATAGAAGGTTAAATTGAGAACAAAAAAAGTAGCAAAATCGCGTATATACCTTTGACAAACATAAAAAATTATTCTCAAGAAATAGATTGCATAGCAAATAGCGCTTGTCTCAAAGGTGAAATTTCAACACTGCACCAATTATTATCAATTTTTTGTAAGCTCCCATAGTTTAGCAGAGCGGCAGTTCAAAATCTTCATAACTATTTTAGAGAAAATTCTGGCAAATAAGTATATAGAGGAATTTTATTTTGAGATGCAGTCAATAATCAATAATAAAGAAGTCAATAATGTGAATTGGCGTTTATGAAAAAAAGCTCTGGATTAAACCTAGGCGAGTGTGGTAAATCACTCAACCTTTGATTACTATATCCAGTCTACTAAAAAGATCCAAGTTCTGCCTTCTGAAGTTATTGCACGTAAATATTATAGGAATAATTACTTCTGTCTAAAAACAAATGTTGATCTTTAACCATATGTACCTTAACCTATTTCGATATCACTCGAATTTTCTTCCTCAATGATGGGTTGCGAAGAATTTACTAGCAAAACTGAATTTCATTGCCGTATCATATACAACTGCTATCTATGGGACTTAGTAGTCGCAGAAATGCCTTAAAGCAGGGGAGGGGGACGGTAGGAAGACCGGCAAAAAGGGGTGTGTAGGACCAAGCTTCACTGGGAATTTTTTTAACAAATTTAACTGATTTTTGCAAATTTTAAAAAGAAATTGTTTATTCAGTAAAAATGAATTGTCTGTCCCAGTTAGGTTTGTATCAGTAGAATTTCGAACCCATTCCTAGAAAGGGTATAAGGAAGGAGAAGGGGAATAAGATTCGCCCATAAACACATATTAGGTTATAAAATACTACAGTTTATATCATCATAATACCCTTGCCATTAATGTTAACCTATATTCTTGCAATTAGGATCAAACTCACCTAATAATGATATGAGTCCACATCCTATCCATACAATTAATGATAGTCCTACTGAATGTGTATAGCTAAGTATTGTCGTTGGTGTTATAAATATACCTGATCCAATTATGTTACCTTAAATCAAAGCTTTTGCTACGAAATCCATAGTTTCGTTTAAAAAGACAACTTACCAACCACGTAACTGGTACATGCTATGAAACCCATCTTGTTTCGTGCCCTACGGGCACCGGCTTCGTCGGGCACCATCGCCTAAAATGGAATGTAATGATAGAACTAAAAAATTAGAATAACAAGTGCTAATAGTTAAAATATTGATGTGCACGGATATTTGATGCTTCTAGAGGCTTGAGGAGAGATGTTTTAGTCATACAAAAACTTCAAAGATCCGAATTACGATAACGAAAAAATTCGTCATTTATATTTCAAAACTAGCAGCAAACATCTAATCTCAAAGAATATCCGTTCCACATAGCGGATTGTCAAGTTCAATACTCCTAGAACCTGATCCTTCAATTTCAAACTAGGAAAACAGCAACAAAAAGAGAAAGTAGCGGAAATATCTATGATTTAAGTTGTGATCGCTTTCAATGATGGCTGACTATCCAAAATGTCAAATCAATAATGGTATACGCTCGCAGCTAATTCTATACATGAATGTTAGCTCTGTACATAAAAGGACAAAAACAGGTCACAAATTCAGTATTTTCCGGAAGTTAGTCAGACCTTTGGGAAGGCTGGAATAAATTTTTTACAGAGGGGGTTAGGCACCTATGATCGATGTGAGCGCTGTCTGTAGCTCGTAGAGTTCAAAAGTTACTCAAGTAATAGGCTTAACAGAATTGAAATAGACGATGACGTCCCAACTTCAATTCATAAGCTCTTTTGGGGTGTCAGGAGAGAAAGACCGTCTTCAAACACAAGTAAAAATTCTGAATACAGTTACTACTTACAACGTTGACGAATTTACTGCATAAAGTGAACTGGGGATGCTTTTCTTAATCTTAGTTTATGCTTGCTCTTTTGCTCTTTCTATAACAAAATGCAGACATATCAAGTCAATATTAACGTTCAAGTCTTAATTCATAGTTTTTCTCTCAGCATGTAAGTTTACTCAATTTAGAGTAAAAATACACTTTCCGGAAAAATACTCACGTTAATATATCTTGCAAAAGTAAAGAAGAAAAGTACCTAAAGTGAAAACTTGATAATTTTCCCCCAGATATTTCTTCTTTTACTCTTTTTAAAATACTTACTTCACTTTAAAGTTCAAAATTTCTTTTGCTCTCCAATTATGCATTGCGTTTTATTTTTTATACTCACCCTGATAAATGCAAGTCTAGATCTAAAAAATTCTTATGAATGAACAGTCTCACGTTCTACGACGACTAAAGCATGAAAAAAGTTTGCCGAGTAGACTGTGTGCTTTAAAATTTTCTCCTCCACCCTGCTGCAGTGACGTTGTCAAACAGATAAATAATCAATTTATTAAATCAAAAAAAGAAGAACTCGTAAACCATTGAAAGAATTGTATAAGGGAAAAACTCCAGAAAAGTTGATCTCACCTCCGTGGCCTCCGCAACGCCTATTTCCACCATTTTAAATACCAGTGGGTAAATATAAGTATAGCTTTGCTAGAATATAAATTTAAAGATATATCCTTGCCAATAGCAACAAATGCACAGACAAGAAATTGAGGCAGATGAACAGATGATTCTGAAAATAAGCTGCGATCAGTGGTAAACAAGAGAAAAACAGGAAAAATATCTGAAAATAGCGTGAAGATCATGAGACTTTCATGAAAACGGAACGAGCTTTTTTTCCAAATTTTCAGAGAAGTCGGTTACGTATTTAGAATGGAAAGTTATAGAAACAATGACCTTTAAAAATGTGCAGAAAAAGAAGTGAAATCTCCGAAAAAAAGAGAACAGCTTAGCTCAGACTACAGATAGATTTTTAGAAAAATTAAAATTTAGGATAATAGAAAATGAAAATGAAAAGTTTCAGCTCCCAAAATAACTAATGATTACAAAAAATGGATAGAAAATTAGATTGATAAATAAGATATACATTAATCAAATATCGAAACCAGGCATATAATTAGTCACAAGATGCAAAGCCCATTTTATTACCTTATTTCGTATTCTGGATTATTCTAACCCTTTTTTCAAGATGTTTTTCAAATTTTTGTCCTAACACTGTAGTTTGGAAGCATTTTCCCTGCCTTATGAAAGTACTCATCGTTTCTTCCAGACATTTAATTTTGCTAAATTATATACGCTGTGAAGTGCAAAGTTAAGTTGACACAAAATAGTAATTTCGTTACTTGTTAGTTTGGCTTTGAAACCCAAGCGAGAAATCAAGAAATAAAGGGATTGTTTTTTATTGGATTAAAATAAATGCATATTATTGGATCAATATTCAGTTATCGACTTTAAAAATTTCTTTTAGAATAACTTTCATACAGTTGCGGTAAGTTGTAAAAGAAACTGAAAAGGTTGTTCTTCCTTCGAATTGATATTGCATTTCTGACCTCACATATCAAAAAAAGGAATTAGAAGTGAGATGAAAAGGTTTTTTGAAATAAGAAAATAGCTTTCAAATTATGAGCTATACATATCTAAAACTTTGAAAAGAGCGGAAAAATAGCTTCAGAAGAAATCAAGAAGATTCTACGACAAACTGATATGAAACAATCAGATAACTCTCTGATTGGATTTATTGTATTGCGTGCATCTGCACCACGGCGTTATGGAGAATTTCAGTTATGAGTAAAGTTTTTGGAATTAGAATTCTCTATGATATCGGAGGTAAGAGCTACTTCATAAGAGATGAATTCGCTCTCACTTCTCAAGTCATCGAGAAAATGCTTTTATCAAAGGAGGCAGCAAGTGAGTTTAAGAAAAACGAGGGTTAACAGAAAAAAGTTTGGAAACAAGAATGGCGTCATTGCTATGCCGGAATGTCACTCAATAAAACGGTCAAAG